TGGATCGCTAATGTTTGGAAGCCACTACATGACCTTTATCCTCATTTCTCCTAATCTTGGAATTCTACAATTCATTACAAAATACCACATTAATTAAAACTGTAGCACTCTTTCCTAAACAGTAAAGTGACATAATGATTGGTTCTTTTTCTGTTTGGCCAGCATTTTAGAGAAATATATCTAAACTTAAAAGCTATAAAGAGGAAGGAAACCATTTTTTCTTGTACTGCAAAATTATGAAGAGGCTTGTTGGTATGTATTACAGGTTCTTCCAGGTAAAGTAATATATTAATGTATAACTGATCCTAACAACTTCCAGTGAAAGACATAAATCACACTTCACGCATCTGAAAACAATTTTTTTTAAAAAAGAACAAAATCCATACAAGTAATTTCCATTATTCTCATTAACTGTAAAAAAAAAAAAAAAAACAAACTTTCTAGGGGTCATTAAAATATATTAATAATTTCTCATTCCTTTAATACCTTCTATTCAAACATCATGCAAGCACTCACCACATACTGCGGGAACAATAATAAACAGAAAGGGGCAGAGGATGTGCTGCATGGTGTAACAGCTAATCTAGGATAAATAAACTGATAGCGGCCTAGTTGCAAAAATTCAATTTTGGTGCAACACAAATGATACTATATTTTAAAAAAGTAGATTTTAAAATACAGAGGAAATCTCCATTTCTTTATTTTTGCTGACAAAGAAATAAACATCTGTTTTTAAGGGTAGTTGAATATTAAATTTACTGAAGTTGATAAGTGTGCTGTGGTTGTGTAAGAGATGTCCCCTTTCAGGAAATACACATTCAAGTATTTAGAGATAAAGGGCCATGATGCATGTAACTTACCCTCAAATGGTTAAAAAAAAATTGTGTGTGCGTGTGTGTGTGTGTGTGTAGAATGAAAGAGGAGGAGGGAAGGGATACAGACACAAAACTAACAGGATAAAATGGTAACAATAAATCAACCTGGAAAAGGTGTATAATTTCTTGTAATACTTTTATTTCTAGAACTTTCATATATGTATGAACTTACTTACAAATAAAGTTGTTTTTTTTTAAGAGCAGGAGACAGATAAATGAGGAAAAAAATAGCAAAATGTTGATAATTCTTAAAGATGGGTTATGGATAGGTGGTCATTCTACCACTCTCTCTTTTATCCATCTTCGAAATTTGCCACAATAAAATATTAAAAAATAAAGAGCAGGTGAAATCATGTATGTAAGTTAGCTACTAAGGTGACTGGAAAACAGAAGGCATTCAACAAATGATAGATGTGTTATTATAAACCGAGTTCACTCTATCTGGAGTGCAGACAAGTTATTAGTTTGCTATTTCGGTACATACAGCAAGTTATTTACTGACAGTCCAGATGTAAGGTGCTCTGCTGGAGACGGCAGTGACATGCTCACATTAAGTCAAGTACCAGCTGACACACTCAGGACTCAGGTTGTGATGAGAGAGGACCAGAAAACAAAGGTGAAGAGTCAAAGGAACTGAGCTCAAGTGCAAACCAACGTCACATCTCTCCTAGGTGATACTGGAAAAATCCTAACTAGGAACATCTCTTCATCAGTCGTATTATAGAAAGGTAAAACCACATATTTGACAAGGTTGCTACAAGAACCAAGTGAAATACATGAAAAGTGCTCTATAAACTCTCAAGTGTTATACACATGTTAGTTTTCACTGTATTGTATGTAGAGGCCAGGTATGGAGAATGAGGTCTGTACACAGTAATCGTAACACAAAACCAAGTTAAATGTGCCACGGGGAAAGAGCACACCTGGCTCAGAGAGAAAAGGAAGTCTTCATGGAGAAGGGGACACTTGAGATGGTCCTTAATGGATGGACGGGCAGAAAAAAGAGAGGAGGAAATGGGATTCTAAGTGAAAGAGATAATCCAAGGAAAGACACGAAAGGGGGAGAGCATCAGGCATGTAAAGAGTAATACAGTTCTTACTAGAGTCTGGGCAACAAATAGAATATTCAACCAGAAATATATCTGAAAAAGTGAGAATAAACTGGAGAAGGCCTTGCCTAACTCCTGGGAGGGTCCAGATGTGTGGTTCACTACTCACCGAGCACGAGGAAGCTTTTCTTCCTCTGCCAGTGCCAACGAAACTTCACTATCCAAAACTTGGAAAGGTTTCCAAAATAAGGCACTCTGTTTCAAAGGAAATTATTCAAGCAACACGTACCATACATATACTGCTATGAAAAGAAATGCTTTCTACTGGGTTTCCAGAAAAAACTCAATCCCAATGAAAATAAATATAATCCAAAAGAGTTTATAATTTACATTTGGCTTTGGCATTTTTTTTTCAGTAGGAGCTTCCAAATCATATTTTTTCTCAAGCCAATATTAAAGTAAGAAAATTCCTTAACTACCAACGAAAAGATCTTCAACTGAAGTTAAATTTCCTTGTCAACCTGATTGACTTTCACGGAATGTGACTTAATTCAAAATTACATGACCATTTTTCCTCCCCCCTTCCCATAATACATAGCTGTGCTTTGGAAGAGAACATTCTTTTGCTGTTTGAGTCGCATACTGTAAAATAATGAAAAATCACTCTTACCATGATTTATACCTTTATATGAATAGTTTTATGAAGATGTAAGAAGCTATATAAAATGTCTTGTGACTATAGTACACTAAAAATCTTAAGTCCATTTTATTTATTTTTATTTTTTAAGATTTTTATTTATTTGAGAGAAAGAGAGAGCACAAGGCAGGGAAGTGGCAGAGGGAGGACAATCAGACTTCCCGCTGAGCACACAGAGCGAGACATACAGGGCTCGATCCCGGACCCTGAGACCATGACCTGGTCATGGTCAGAGGCTTAACCGACTGAGCCACCCAGGTGCCCCCATAAGTCCATTTTCATGTCCTTAACTAATATTAAATCTTTTTCACCACCACCTCCCCCAGACTCTGAATACTGAATTTTTCAATGGTAAAGGAAAAAACCATAAAATCATTGAAAACTATATGGAAATAATCTTAGCAATCCTGACCTCATTCAATAGACAAAAAAACTGGAAGCTAGGAAAATTAAGGGACTTCCTTCTGATACACTGCTAACTAGGTAAGACAGATCTAAAGTTTAAAAGTTCTTTGGCACCTAGTACTGATGACACCACATTACCATAATGGACATTCTTCTGATGACACATTAACTCCAAGAAAAACTAAACACAATGCATGAATCTATGTTTGTCCCTTAAAAAAAGGAAGTGCAGGGGCACCTGGGTGGCTCAGTCGGTTAAGCAGCTGCCTTCAGCTCAGGTCATGATCCTGGGGTCCTGGGATTGAGCCCCACGTCCGGCTCCCTGCTCAGCGGAGAGCCTGCTTCTCCCTCTCCCTCTGCCTGCCACTCTGCCTACTTGTGCTCTCTCTCTCTGCCAAATAAATAAATAAAATCTTTAAAAAAAAAAAAAGTGCAAAGTATTGCCATTGTTTTGAAGAAAGCAGTTAATGAACTTATACTAGCTCCTCCCACAAATCTTCAACCAGGGGCGTCTGGGAGGCTCAGTCAGTTAAGTTGCTGCCTTCGGCCCAGGTCATGATCCCAGGGTCCTGGGATTGAGTCCCCCATCGGGCTCCTTGCTCAGTGGGGAGTCTGCTTCTCCCTCTGCCTCTGCCGCTCCCCGCTGCTCATGCACTCTCGCTCTCTCAAATAAAAATCCTTAAGAAAAAATCTTCAACCATCCTGAAATACTGGAAAATACTTAGCTTTATATCCTTATTCCAGTTTAATGATCGAAAAAGAAAATGCTGATGGACTAATGAAGCCTTCCCATGGGACACAAGCAGCCACTGCTGTGCTGCCTTCAGAGGCCGTGAATGCACAAGCCTGGTACAGCCTCCTCATCTGAAATGAGGGCAAATCAGAGCACTAACGTCTGCAGGTCTGGCATTCTAGGGAGCCTGCTCAGCACCAAAGACAAAGCAATGAGGGACCACGTATGTAATTCAACCAGTCATATTAAAAGAAATCAGGGGAAGGCAAATCTAGAAAGCCTGGCCCACAGATCAATTCCAAAAGTCAACAGAGGTCTCTTGACCCAAAGAGGTTCCCAAGACGCACTACCCAGCCCATTATCAAACAGAACTGAACTACATTTTCCCATCATACTGATGTTCCTCCGTGAGTGTGGCGAGCACACCGCAGCCATAATTTCACTGTGGAGCTCAGCTCCGGGTAGCATTCCTTCAAACAGCCCAGCTGTGCACTACGTGGTTCGGTGTATACTGCTCGTCTAGTAAGAGCACCCGTGCAGGCCTTACAACTGCCAAAGTACCAGTCTGCTTTTTGTTTCTCCTTTAGAAGAAAGCGAAAGCTCAGTTTCTAGGACTTCGCATGACGCAGGTCCGCCACACCAACACCAGGGATAGCCAGGGCTAACCTTTGCCACTCCCCGCGTCTTCATGTCCAACACCATGAAGCAGAAATAAGGCTTTACTGTCGGCTGGGAAAGGACTTTCTGCAATGAATGAAATCTGCTTCCAATCTGATAAAACCCACACTTGTGCTTCAGAGTTTAATATAAAACTCTTCAAAATGTGCTTATTTGTTGCTGAGCAAATGAAACGTATTAACAAGAAAACTACACCTAATTAGTCATGTAAGATCCTAACCAATAAAGCCTCTAAAATAGCATGATTTCCTTAAAGCACAAGCAGTAAAAAGTTTCCAAGAGCTTAACCGCATTTATCGTGTACAGCTAAAATTCATGCGATATGCATATTTACAAACATTATTCTTGAAAAATGGTGTCTTACAGGTAAACAATTATTTGCATACATTTCACTGCATCAATCACAGCACCAAATGGAAAAAATATTTTAAATTACTTCCAGTATTTCACATTTAGCCAGCTCCACAGAGCCAACAGTGGTGGCCAAGTGGACAGAATTTCTTACGACTAATTAGACAAACTCTATCTGCATCCAAGAACTGACAAAATCTGATTAGACTTACTTGCTACTCCTGACGCGAGTCCATAGAGCAGTCCTCCCCCCTCCGACTGCTGTGGGAGTACCTGTGCTCCTGGAGGGGGCGGCTTTTCTTGTCTGATAAAGTTATACAATAAGGTTTTCACAAGTTTGCTGGTATACGGAAGACTACACAAAAAGAAAAAAGAAAATCAAATTCATAGTTATGGAAGTCCCCTGACTTTGTATAATGATAAATATCATCTATATAATCTTTTAATAAAAAAGGGATTAGCACAATTCAAAGAAATATTGCACTGTCACATAATACTGAAGACCGTGGGCTCTGACATCAGACTTGAGGCTTAATTCTGGCTTTCCTGTTTCTATGCCATAGTTGTTGGTCAAATCACTTCAATTCTTGAGCGCCAGTTACCTTACTGGTAATCTGTATAACAGGTGACACATTATAAATTCAGTATATTATTCAGTACCTGGTACTTGAAGGGAGGTAGTAACACAGAATCAGTAGGGAAAAGCAAGAATCAAAAAGCAACAATACAAAAGACTATACATTTTAAGCATGAAATTATTCAATTTATGCATACATACAAAATAATATACATATTTACTCTTTCAAGTAATGGAATGAAAGGAGAAGAGAACATAGGTGAAAAGGGATATGTGTCCACAAATTAAAGTGATAAACCAATTCCTGCAATCTAGAGAAAACTCTGTAATAGACTCCTGAGCCAAAGCTCAGGCTCTTTCTCTATTACCAGTGATTTTCAAATATGTTCCAAACAGCCTTACAGGATTCTGTGACTGTATCACCGGTACAATCCAGGGAGCAAGAAGGTGCCACATAGATAACCAAGGCAGCAAGAAGGATGTGAAAAAGACAAAGCTCCTCCCACTCCCTGAGAACTTTAATCAAAGCTACTTTATTTGTAATTGTTTTACATTCTCAAGTTCTGTGAAGAATGTGCCAATAGAAGGTAACGTGTGTGTGTGTGTGTGTTTTATCTACTCCCAGCCCCCCATTAGAAGATTGTAAGCTGCTACTCAAGAGCGGAGCCCCCCATCCTAACACATGCCTGGCACATGGTTAACACACACTAAGTATCTGTGACTAAATGAAAGTAGGAGCAGTCAGCTAAGAGGCTGCTGGACTAGTCCAAACACAGGGTGACTGGGTGGAGATGTGGTAGTTTCGAAGGGACTTGTGGAAAGGGGAAGACTGAAAATAATTTCAGCCATGACTGGATGAGTGCTTAGACATAGAGAATGCTGCAGAAAAAGAAGAAAGACGACTTCAAAGTTTCACTTCTACAAAGAAACCACCAGAGAAGGTGAAGAGCCGTGGAGATGAAAGGGGCAGGGAGGTCAGACGGTTTAAATCGGAAAGCAGAATCTGGTTCCTTATGCGTTGGGTTTGGAGTGCGGACAGAATCACAAAAGGAAATGTCTGGCTGGACAGCTGGGACAACAGTGAGGTTAGAGGACAAGACCAGAAATACAGATTTATACAGTAAGTAGAAAAATGTAAAATAGGAACATACCATCGACCTCGCATCAAATACTTGTGACTGATGCTCTGTCGCAAAACTTCCTTGTGGAAGAGTTGGCAAGAAAGGAAAACCACCATTGTTGATACAGCTTCTACTGAGATTTCATATGTAATATCTCTGGAGAAATAGGAAACAAACAGAATAATGATCCCCTTGTAAATTAGGATTGCTCTTTTCTAAATTACACATTTAAAAACTCAACCTAAATATTCAACATGTTTCTGGGTTATAAAAAAAAATACTAATATGTTTAACATAAAAATTAAGTCAAGCAAAAATATGAAGCCCTTTCCCAGCCATTAGCTCTTGTACTTGGGTTAGGCATCCCATGACTTTCCTATTTCCCAGTTCCCACCTCCTGCTAAATGACAAGTCTATTAATGTATAATGGAAACAGTTACCAGCAGTGTTCGCTTGGAAGATCCACCCTAAAGCTCTATGTTCATCTCTGTTTATTTATAATGCAGAACCAAATATGCAGATTGCCAAACTGAAGAGAAGTCCCAGTGCAGCGAAGAAAACAATGCCTTTTCGTGGTGATAATCACTTTACAGTGAGAACAACGGTATATCCTAACAAACTCTACCTCTAGTGTCTGCGGCCTCAAGGCCAACTCTGCATGTTCAGCAAAATATGGACAGTGAACACATTATACCTGTTTGATTAAGCATGTTTCTCCCAAGATCATCAGCCCCCCCTTTAGAAATAAATCTTAGATCAAATAAAGGGGAAACAAAGTTTTGGCTGAGCAGGAAGCACAAACAGGAATAAATGGCTCGAGAAATCTTCAGTTATTGCAAAAGTTTAACGTGATCATCATGGGGAAAAGTAACAGATCAGGAAAGTGGAAATCTCAACAACACAGCAAAAAGAGTAACAGCTCCAAAAGAGTATCAAAATATTTGACACAACTGAAATACTCATGGAAAGCGTCCCCCCCCCGGCAAAAAACACTTAACGCCTACTTAAATGAGGCTCATTAAGCAAATTAAACATGTCTTGATTCTAGAACTGAGCAAGCTTAAATTCTACCAGATATTTTAAGGAGTTATTGCTGATAGAAGTCTCTTTTAAAAATAAAATATACAAAACACAAGAGGTCCATGCAACTGATGTTGTTATGTAATGAATAAATCTCAGTTCTACTCAGAAATCTCACTTTCAAAAGTATTATAGAACAATTCTCTCTCCTGAAATTTCCATAATTAGTGTTGTAAATATTAACCACATAAAACACAATTCTTATATTTGTTCTAACTCCTTGAACTGAATGAAAGACAAGCATGACATGTCATGTTATGATTCATTAATTCTTCATAATAATGGTGATGACTGCTAGAACCTGAAAGATTTTGCATCACAGTTATCATTTATTCATATAGCCCATACTCTATGGTCAATTGGCTAGGCATGTAGCTGGGTCAGGGCTTAAAGCCAAATCCTGAAGAACAAAATATCCTGCTACAGGGTAGAGCCTATCTAGATAGGTGACCACCTCCAGGACATTTGATAACATATTCAGTTACTGCATCAATAATAAAGAATCAACTGCAGTGTTTATAATTTATAATTTAACATCTTATTCTATATCCCAAATCCAAATTCTGTAAAGCTATAGGAGTGGAGGGTAGAGGGTTTCATGTTGGGAGGGAGGGAAGCTGACAGCACATAAGAACAGTGACTCAACAGGATTTTCGTGTCAAGCTACAAATCCATTCATCAAAATTCCTAAACAGAACTAAGTGATCCCCCTTGTGTGCTTCCATAGGTCTATGGATAAAAGTTCTATCAAACTGTTTATTACATTGTATTCCACTTTGTAGGTCATTCAACAAATATTTACAAAGAACTTATTCTTACTATATCTAGACAGGCATTATGCCCCATATTAGAGACACATCCATCAACAAATAAGGCTCCTGCCTTTATGGAGCTTACAGTTTAGTAAAGAAAATAGAACTCAAGAAATAATTACACCAAAAAGGGTCATAAAGAAAAAGCGTAAGTAACACCATGAAAGGATTTAGGGGATTCTGGTTGTAAAGCTCCTCTGAAAAAGTGACATTAAGTTAAGCCCTAAAGCATGACTGGCAAGCAGTTATATGCAGACGAGTTTTCTTTTTTTAAGATTTATTTATTTGAGAGAGAGCATGTGATCATGATCTGAGCCGAAATCATGACCTGAGCCAAAAACAAGAGCTGGACGCTTAACCAACTGAGCCACCCAGGTGTCCCAAGACGAGTCTCTCTTCTAGCTAGGGATCCTTTCATTTTTTAGTTATTTATATTCCCAACTCTAGTACATAACAAGACACTCAATGGATAAATGGACACAGACACAGAGGTATTTTTTCTTTTTTGTAACTTTTTTATTTTTTTGAGAGAGAGAATCTTAAGCAGTCTCCACGCCCAGTGTGGAGCCCCATATGGGGCTCAATCTCACAACCTTGAGATCATAACCTGAGCTGAAATCAAGAGTAGGATTCTCAACCGACTGAGTCACCCAGGCGCCCCAAGACAGAGGGATCTTTTAATGCTCTGATTTTTATTGGAACTGACTGACTGGGTCTTCCTGAATAGACTCCTCAGCACAGCATACAAAGCATATGTAATTTGGAAGAGCAAAAAAGGAAGAAATGTGTTGAGGTCATGTAATACCTGATCATAATACAAAAGAATACTCATTGCAAACATAAAGGGAATTTCATGAAGGACCCACGATGCTGCTGACTGACTGAGAGGGTATCTTTTATTCATTTTTCTGACCAGCATCCATTTATCAGCAGTAAAACAAAGGACACATAGGATGATCTGAATGGAATGACTTAATACCATGAAAACAGTAATTCTACACAAATTAATCCTAAAGTCAAGTCAGGAACTTTTTCAGGAATGTCCTAAAGCGACTCCAAACTTTTTATGGAAGAGTAAACATGGCCAAGTCAACCTTGAAAATAAAGAGTGAAGAGAGAGACTTTCACTACCAGGTATCAAGCCATGCTATTCAGCTATAGCAATAAAAACAGCATGGTATTTGCGCGCACACACACACACACAAACAGGCAAATGAATGAAACCCACCCAAGAACCAAACTTATGGCTCACACCTGTGGTGCAGACGTAAACAACATACAACAAAGATGGGTCCACGAATCAATGAGGACAGAAGAGACTGTACAGAGGATAGTGCTAGAAACAACTGGCTCCTTTTACAAAGAAAGTAGTGATGGGTCCCTATCTAATAACATACTCAAAGCCCCACTACAGATGGATTAAAGACCTGGATGTGAATGGTACAGCTAAAGTTAACACAAGAAAACATACGATGCTAAGTTTGGAACATAGGCACGTGAAAGAACTTCTTTTAATAAAAGCCTGAGAGCACAAACCATAAAGTCAAAAAATGCACCTAATTACATAAAAATTAAGGATTATTGCTCAACAAATGAAACCTTGGACAAAGGTAACAGGCAGATGAAGAACGAGAAACTCCTATCTAGAACCTTACAAACAACTCCTGCAAATGGCCAAGAAAAAAAAACAAGAACTCCACTAGAAAAAAAGAGCAAAGTATATTAACAGTTTAAAACACTGTGATATCCCTTTCTGCCCTGGAAGATATAAAGTATTAGCAGGCATATGGTGATATATAAACCCTCACGTACTGCTGATGGGAATATTAACCAGAGCAGTCATCTTTAGAGAGCAACCTATGACCCAATATATGTATATATGCCAAAGAAAAACTCACAGAAACTGTTTGAGGACTGTGGTAGGCAAACTCTAAAATGACCCTCAATAATTCCTGCTTCCTGCTATTCATATGCCCTTGTGTACTGCCTCCCCTTGAGTTCAGGCTGAATCTAATAACTCACCTCTGATAAACACAATAAAAGTGAGAGGATGCCACTACCAGGTGGAGGTAAATTTACAAAATGACTATGGCTTGTGTTGGGCACCCTCTCTTGCCTTTCCTTTTTTTTCTTTTCTTTGCTTTCTCTGAGGGAAGCCAGATACTTTGTTGTGAGCTGACATATGGAGAAGTCCACCTGGCAAAGAAGTAAAGGAGGCCTCCAGTCAACAGTTAAAGAACTGAAGTCCAATTTCCCTAGAGTAACTGAATCCTGACAACAGCAAGTGAGAAATCCAGAAAGCAGGTCCTCCGCTTCCTAGCTGAGGCTTCAGATTAGACCACAGCCCCAGCAATAAGCTCAACTACAACCTCAAGAGTCAGAGGCACCATGCCAGCTCTACCTCCTGATCCTAACAAACTGGGCATGAAGCCTACTTAAAAAAAAAAAAAAATGCATGTACATAGAACATTTAGTTGCACGCATATATATGTACATATATATATATATATAAATATAAATAATGCATTAGACACACTTAAAATGGCTGTTGATGGGAAAGAAGAGGAGTAAGGAATGGGGATAAATGGGAATAAGTGAAATGGATTAACACCAAATGCTGCGAGGGATGGGCCTCACATGAACCAATGATGATAATGACCCTTGAAGTGAAGAATGTGATCGACTCAATCCTATGCCTGATGTGTCCAAAATCAGGGACCGTGGAATGAAGCGGGGGCATCAGAAGTTGGACGACATACTGAAGTGGGGAAATGCTTTAACTAATTCAAGAAACAAAGCACATGCAATAAACTATTTCACTGAAACATTATGAGGACCTCAATGAAAACAGTGACAACAGGAATGGAAAAGAGCATTCACACTTGAATGACATGGAACAAAATAAAACTAATAGCACTCAGTGACAGACTGGATGCTTAAAGTGGGCAAAAAAGACTAAGACTAATCAAAAAAGACAGGTTTCTAGATTTAGAACTCAGAGACAGTGATATCAACCTAAATCAAGAACACTTTCTTTCTTCATGAATGGATGCTGAATTTGGTCAAACGCTTTTTCCACATTTACTGAGACACTCATATGGCTTTTCTAATTTTTCTGTCAATATAGCATATCATGTTGATTGAATTTCAAGTGTTAACCATAACACATTCTTCAGGTAAACCACACTTGGTTATGATGTACTATCCTTTTCATATATTGCCGGATACAACTTACTAATCATTTTTTAAAGATTTTATTTATTT